ATATACAAATTCCGCAATCCAGTTGGTTAGAGAGAAACTATCCTTTAAAAAGCAAACAACGATTATAACAACCGATTCGAAGCCGCAGAAATAATCCGTAACATATGTGTATGTACGTATGTAACTATCTATGTATGTATGTATGTATGTATGTATGTATGTATATATGTATTATCTCGTAGCAAACCGTAACAACTGTTTACTATTCCGATCTTCTAACAAATCCATTTGAATATTTGTAGACGTATATGTATCCATATGTATATTTTTGTGTATATACACATATGCATACATATATATATATATATATGTATATTCACATGCACATATACATAGATGCGGAACGTTAACGTTGTGTTTGTGCAGTTTGTCGCTCATTAAAATCGTAGTACGAATATATACGAAACTAGAGAAAGAGAGAGAAAGGGATAGAGATGGAGAGATGGAGAAAGGGAGAGAGAGAGAGAGAGAGAGAGAATGAGAGAGATAAAGTCTGGTGTTGCAACAGTAACGGCAGAGCAACAGCTTCAGCAACGGCATCAGCAACATTACAGTCGACGAAACTTTGTGGAACTCTACTCGTTATAGAGGAGCAAAACGAGCCGCGTACGTACGGGAACGAATCATTACGCTAATTAATTACCTCGTCCGTTGGAACTCGAAAAGGGACACCCACCTACTACGTGTTTACAATGAAATTTTACGGGAAATGGATGTATATATATATATAATATATAAACGTGCATGCATATGTGTGTGTTTATCTATGGGACGGTAGGTGGGTGGTTGGGTGGGTATGTAAGTGTATGCGTGTCAACGCATTTCCACGATTTCCCTGCTATCTCTTCAAAACATATATATATATATATATATATATATATGTATATATACACTCACGAACATAAATGTATATATATATATATATGCATGTATGTGTATATACATATATAAGTGTATTTTATAGCAAATGTTCTCCACGAAGGCACTCGAAAGTTTCTCAAACGATCACGTCCTACCAACTTACGCGTTTCCTATGCTCGTGTTTACAGGAAGGGGTTGGATCGTTCGATATTAAAGTGCTTAGCTAAGTCATTTGGCTAAGTAAGTACTTTCTCTTTTTTTTCTCTCTTTCCTTCGTTTTTCCTTTTTGTTTTGTTTGTTTCGTTCTGTTTTTTTCTGTTTTTTTCTTTTTTTTTTTTTTTTTCTTTTTTTTGTTCTTATTGACAATTAATAATCGACAGTATGGGGATAGAAAAGGAGAGAAAGAGTATCACGCTTATGATTCTTTGTTAGTAATGAGAGAAGAAAAAAGTAAATTAAGTGACATTATTATAGTGATTATTATGTGAAATAGTCAATCAATTATGCGTATAAATGTTCGTAACGTCGTAATAATATTCATAATAATATTGTATATAAACGTTGGATGGTAAATATTTTTTGTAAGTGAAAAAAAAGAAAAAAAAAAAGAAAAAAAAAAAGAAAATGAAAAGAAAATTAAAAAAAAAAAAAAGAAAGGCAAACGAATAAATATAAAAGTAAAATAAAATGGGATGAATGAAGTGTCAAATGCGTGTTTCATTCATGAAAACGATCGCATGACAAAAATGTATCTTTAAATTTACGTAACGTCACGTAGTATACCGTAAAATGAGAGACAAAGAGAGAGAGAGAGAGAGAGAGAGAGAGAGAGAGAGAAAAATAGAAAAATTCCTTTGGGGAAAAATCGTGACATACTTCTCTCAGGATTCACGGAGTCATATAAGAAATGACGAGTATTTCCCTCGACGCGGTTTCTTTCCTTCGTTGCAAATACAAGGAAAATATTCTCAAGGACATCTGTGACATCCTACGTTTCTTTCTTTTCCCGTTTGAAAATAAGAAAAGAAAATTTTACGATAAAAATTAGCAAACTTGAATTAAAGTTTGTTTACTTACTCGTTGATAACGACGACGATATGATGACGATAATGATGACGACGACGATGATAATGATGATGATGATGATGATGTTTTCATTTAATTCTTCAAAAAGAAATTTCAACGTTTCAAGATTTATTATAACATTTGTAAGACAATCGATTATTTTGTTATCATTTTTTTTCTTTATTTTTTTAATTTTAGTTTTTTTTCTTTCTTATTCTCTCTCTCTCTCTTTCTCTCTCTCTCTTTTTCTCTCTCTTTCTCTCTCTTTCACTAACTTTTCTTCATCCTTCTTCCTTCAAATAGGTCTCTCATAAGATTTGCATGTTGCATCTTTCTCGGAGATATCTTTTTCTGTCTCTCTATCTCTCTCTCTTTTTCCTCTCTCTTTCTTTTTCGTTTTTCTTTTTCTTTTTTTCAAAAGGAATAGAAGCAAATGGGTGAAGGGTGAAACGTGGGAGGACACTAAATGAGAAGAGACGAGAATCGTTACAACGATAGTTTGACGTTCAAAGGGCGTTACTTGAAATAGTTTTTTAAGAAGAGATATTTCTGAAGGAACGACGTAAAAAGTATCATTTCATTTTCGTTTTTTCTCTTTTTCATTTTCTTTTTTTCTTTTCTCCTTCTTCTTTGTTTTCTTTGTTTTCTTTTCCCCCTGCCACCCACCCCCCCCCTGACTCCCCTCTATTTTTATCCTTTTTCTTTTTCTTTCTTTTTTTTTATTCTTCGACATAAAAACAAACCGACGTACGACTTTCTTCCTCGCATTTTTCTTTTGTACTTCTTTGACTACTGTAAATAGATATACATATACACATTTGTATGTGTGTGTGTGTGTGTGTGTGTGTGTGACTGTAAAAAAGATCGTTGAATATTTTTACATTACGATAATAATAAAAAGGATATATTAAAGAAAAATATAAAATATATAAGTAATATTAATGATTGGAGTAAAAAAATAATATTAATGAATAAAAATATAGGAATACAATCTGATGAAATTATTGCAAATGAAAAAGAAAAAAAAAAAAAAAAAAAAAAAAAAAGAAAATAGATTAGATACCGAAAAAAGGAGAAGGATTATTTGATTAATCTTTTGAAATATTCTTACGTACTTTTGGATATTCATTATAAAAATATAAAAATATTAATTAATTATTACAACAACAACAACAACAACAACAACAAACAACAACAATAATGATAATAGAACGAAGTGTAATATAATAAAAAGGAAAAAAAGAAAAAAAAAGAAGACTAAAGAACTTCTTCAAACGTTCAATTAAAAAAATACTTCAATTAATATATTTATACGATTTCAAATATAAATTGAATATAAATTCATTCATGAAAAAATAACTTTCTCTCTCTCTCTCTCTCTCTCTCTCTCTCTCTCTCTCTCTCTCTCTCTCTCTCTTCTCTATTTCTCTGTCTGTGTGTGTGTGTGTGTTTCTTGTAGATCTTCTTCGAAATCGTAGAAACGCACAAGTTTATTGTACAAACGAGACTACGACTCGGCACGGAGATTTGTTTGAGCTTCTTCGCGGGATTGTAAATCGTTGGAAATTTATCGGCCTGGCGACCTCGTGAAACTCGCTCGATGCTCGTTGTATGTACTTACGAATGTATATACATATATATAAATACATATGTACGTATGTACGTATGTACACATGTACACGAATGTATGGGGGTAGAAAAGGTAAAATCCAGTGCGTTTCTAACTCTTGAATTCGTCCGAGATCTTCGACTTTTAGTGTTCGATAAATCCTTCCAAGTTTCGAAAAGGTCGACGTATCTTCTGTATATATATATATATATATATATATATATATATATATAAACTACTCTGAGTTACATTGATATATGTATGTATATTTCATTGAATGTTTTTATTTAAAAAAAAAAAAAAGAAGAGAAAATTTTTTTTTCATATAGACGACTTTTATTGAAATAAAAAGTGATTTGATCCTTTTTGAATATTATATTTATCTCAAATATTATATGACGAGAGTAACGTTGTGTATTAAAAAAATGAGGACAAAAAAATTTTTACTTTATATACGAACATATTGTATATTAGATATTTTTGTCATTGTTCGTAGGTATATGATAAGAAAAAAAAAAGGAAGGAAAAGAAAACAAAAAATTATTTGCTTTTTCTTTTTTATTTTTTTTATTTTTTTTTTTTATCGAAATAATATAAAATTATTTCCAACAAGTTCGATAACACGATAAATGAAGAAGACGAATTTGATATTAGAAGACAGATAGATAGACAGACAGACGGACAGACAGAGAGAGAGAGAGAGAGACAAATAATTAGAAATATAAATAAATAGATAGAGATAAATAGAAACAAGTAAAAAAAAAAAAAAAAAATAAATGTGATATAAAATTTAATAATCATGGTATCGTTGTCAAGACCAAAGATCATAATTTATATACATATATACATACATACATACATATATGTATATATATATATATACACAATAGATCGAATTCTCGTTATTTGAACAAGAATATATACAATAGTTAGTTTCCTGTCTGTTTGTAATTACATCGTCGTTTTTAATTAAATTGTTGATACACCTGAATGATATTTTTTTTATCGTATCTATAGTTAAAGATCAAAAAGCATAGTGTACGAGATAGATAAATGTTAGTATATTTAATATTTTAACAGGGTGCCTATGTGTTTATTGGTGTAGTAAAGCGACAGGTCGCGCAAATACGTTCGGGCGCATGTCCCTTGCCGCAAACGGGATCGAATGTCCCCCCCTCCTCTTTTTCAAATTCCTCGAGAATGACTTCCGCCACTGTTCGATCTCAGTCTGAAACGAGGACGACGGGGTTTAGTCAAGAAAGGGTGAATGTACCCTTTCAGAGGAAATGCTTGTCAAACCTCGTTTGATATTATTATCGACTTTGATCTCTTATCTGTATATATATATATATATATATATATATATATATATGACTTCGATATTTTATATCTCAGAAATAAAATAATAATAATAATAATAATAATAATTTGTTTATGTGTATTTCTATACATTTATATTATATTTAACTACATTTTAGATTTTATAAAATATTTTTATTCGAAACTATTTATGTTTCGTCAGCAAATATAGAATGAGGATCGTTGATACGAAAGAAAAGAGAGAGAGAGAGAGAGAGAGAGAGAGAGAGAGAGAGAGAGAGAGAGAAAAAGAAAGAAAAGAAAAAAATTTTTCTTTACTATCATCATATTAAAGAAATTTTATTTGATTACTATTTATCTATTCGTCGATTTATATCGTATGTAAACATGATCGATATTTTTTAATTAATGATATCCGAACTAAAATGCTCCATTTAAAAAGGTTCACTGGAAGAGCTTGAATGTTACGTAAAAAAAAAAGAAAAAAAGAAAAAAAAAAAAAGAAAAAAGATAAATGAGACGAATAAAAATAAAAAAGAAAAGAAATATTGTCATTAATCCGAATTCTCAATTAATTCTAAATAATCCAACGCGAGAGGGAAAGATTGTACGTTGTTTCTCAATTAACGTCTCGTCCATCATTAATGTCTCTCTCTCTCTCTCTCTCTTTCTTTTTCTACACCTATAGCTATATATATATATATATATATCTGTCTTTCTAGTTCTAACTCTCTGAAATTCTTTTCTTTTTTTTCTTTTTCTCTTTTCCCTCTTGAAAGGAGCACTACTCTGCTATACGAGTACGAGTGGACGCGTTTTAACGTTAACACGTTTACGCTAAGAACGCGTACTTTTCTCGATCTCTATTTTTTTTTAGAAACATTAGAAAAAAAGAAACAGAGGAAAGTATGCGTGGAAAATGCCGTGTGACGTTCAAACGTTTTTCTTCTTTCTTTTTTTTCTTCTTTTTTTTTTTTTTTTTTTTTTTTTTGATCTATGTACTCTCTCTCTCTCTCTCTTTCTCTTTCTCTCTCTTTACCTATTCTATCTATCCATCTCCCTTTCTCTTCATCTCAGTGAAGTTACTGGAATGTAAGTACTTCGCAACTGCACATAGCCTGATGAAGAGAGAAAGAAAGAGAGATAGATAGATAGATAGAATAGATAGAGAAAGAGAAAGAGAGAGAGAGAGAGAGAGAGAGAGGAGAGAGATGAGGGAAAAGCAACATTTTATTTTTTTTTTCTTTCATTCTCATTATCGGTACTGCTTTGAGAAAAGCAAGGACATCATCCCCTCGTTCAACGAGTGCACCCCTTTCCACAAGAATTCTAAAGTATGAGAGATAGAGATAGAGATAGATAGATAGATAGATAGATAGATAGATAGATAGATAGAGAGAGAGAGAGAGAGAGAGGGAGAGAGTAAGATAGATGGATGGATGGAAAGGGTGAACGCTTTAATCGTTAACGTCGATGCACCCGCTAAAAGCTTCAAAATAAGTGAAGCTTCTCCCTCTCTTTATATGGACGACCATGTAAATTTCATCGATACTTTTCGTCGATAAAAGAAAAAATGAAAAAGGAAGGAAAATATGAGGAGGGTGGGGGGGAAGAGAGAGAGAGAGAAAAACTCATTGCACGGGGAAAAAAATAATATTAATCGGTCGGAAATTAATTGGCTTTTTTTTTTCCTCGTCGATCCTTTATTAATTATACATCGAATATAGAGAAAAAAAAATGAACTAAAGAGAGAAAGACAGTGATTAAGAGAGAGAGAGAGAGAGAGAGAGAGGGAAAGATGTGAAAATTCATTCTCTTTTGGAAATATAAAAATAGATAAAAATAAGAATGAAAATTAAATGTACGTATAAAAATGTTGTACGAACAAAAAAAAAAAAAAAGAAGAAGAAAGAAAAAAAAAAAGAGGGAAAAGTAAAAGAAATATGCGAAGAGACGCCTACTTAAGAATCGTTGTTGCGTAGAATAAATCGCAATAAAACCGCGCCTCCTTTCTTTCAAAAGATTTACTGCCAACGGCGATCGCGTTACGCCCATCCTTTCTCGATCATACTTATCTATCGAGAATTATGTAGATATACACCGGAGAAATCAACTCTCGATGTTTAATATCTGTCAATAACAATAATAACAATAATAATAATAATAATAATAATAATAATAATAATAATAATAATAAAAAGAAAAAAAAAAAAAAGAGAAAAAGAAAAGAGAAAGAAAGTGTATTTTGTTTGTATAATCCTAATGCACGTTGCGTTTACGTCAAATTTTAACGTCCCTTAATATAATTTTCATTTATTCCTTTTAACATAAATCTTTAACGATTGTGCCTTGATTTCCTTGATATTTTTTCTTGATAAAAGGAAAAAAAAAAAAAAAAGAAAAAAAAAAAAATGGAGAAAATAAAAAGAATAAAGAAGAAAAAAATATAGTGCGCGCGTGCACGATCGCGCAACACATCAACCTTTTTTTTTATCTTTCATCCAACCAATTTGTTTCTCTCGTTGTAACATAAATCTTCTGTATATATGATAAAAATCAACGAGTTTGCGTTCTAACGGGTACTACAAAATATGATATTTTTTCTTTTTTTTTTTTTGTAAAAAGAAAAGAAAGGAAGAAAAGAG